ACAGGAAAATACGTGGGAAGTATTAGGACAGTCTGTAGGTTCAATCAAGGATAGATATTATACACTTTATACCTGCCAAATTTTGTCTTCTAGGAATTATATCCTAATTCTATTACCAGGAAAATACTTCAGAAGAGGCTCTGTTCTTTAAAGCTGGAATAGCTGACACAGAGATCAAAACAAAACTTTTTCCAGACATGTGATTAATACTTGTCCTTTTATTAGGCAACTTGTTGCAAGAGAAAGCCCTGCTTGGAGTCGCCTGCAGCTCGCTGGGCAGGAAGAGGTTTCTTTGGCTCCCCAGGCAGAGGCTGCGTGGCCGGCTGCCCAGGGAGGAGCACCCGGAGGAGCGTCCTTCCTTCCCGCAGCCGCATCGCCCCAGCCTCTGGGGCAGCACAACAAAGCGCAACGGTGGGTGGAGGCAGAGGGAGAGAGGAAAAAGCTGTTGCTTTGTTTTTTCTGCTTGTCTTTTCCAGTTGGGCACCAGTTTGTTGCAGTAGTGTCTCCTCCACTCAGGCTACCTCTTGTTATCTGTAGAGCACGTTCACAAAGCTTTGCAAAAGCAAAGACAGCCCTGGGTTAAAAGCACCAGAAAGGAATGGGTGTCCTTTTAGATCCTCGTCTGTACGCAATTCTTGGCTGACCTTGAGTAAAAACATTTCAGCTCTCTAGGCTGGAGTCCCCTGTCTGTAAAATGGGACTAATCTTCCCTGACTGCTGCTCTCTGCTTGTTTAGTCTGAGCTGAGGCACAGATATCACTGTGTTTCTAGAGCACCGAAAACACAACAGGCCTAAACTCAACTCAGGAACACTATGATAACGTGAATAATTACTTACGGAGGTAAAAATCAGAGTTTTAATACAATGGGAAGCTGCACTATTTGGAATTTTCCCTTCACTTCCTTTTAGTCAAAATTTTGAAATTCCCCTGCAAGAAAATTATGAAAATCTTTGCTTTAAAAACTTGAATTGACATAAATGAAATGGCTCATTTCAACAAGGTTGAACACTTGCCTTCTAGAAGATCAAAACGTTTTGCTGACTTTATTATTTTGACAAAGTAACTGCATTATCATTTGTTATAAAATCCTTTTATATTCTGTCAAAAATACACAATATAATAAAAATTGAAATAAGATTGAAGTGAAGGTCCATGATCTTATCAAAGTAAAACTTTTCATTAAGAAAAGTCAACAAAACAATGCCCCTACACACAAGTTTGAGTTAATCAAACATTTTCCCAAGAAAAAAAAAAGCAGTCAGATGATATTCGGCCAGCTTATGTATAGTCTATACATAAGATATAAAAGGAAGGCTTTGTTCACAAGATTTGCAGCTTAAGTTTCAACTGCACTTGCAGCCCACCACAACGCTGAAGTGAATTCTGACTTCATGTACACCCACTTCCCCAAGCAGCTTCGATGGGCTGCGTGAGAGGAATCCAGCCCAGAGGTTTGTGGAACATTGACCACGGGCTGGCCAGGGAGGGGATCTTCGAGCAACTAGGAATACCTAGTCTGCAGCTAATTGCTCTTCAGTTAAGCAGTAAGGTGCAAACTGGGAACTTTCAGCACAACGTATAACATACCAGAAATTAATGACTTTGATCGTACTATAGCATCAGGACCAAAAGAAAAGAGCAAGGATTTTAAGTACCTGGATAACGCCAAACTGAGCACGCTTAAGACAAATCATAACACAAATAGTCTGCAGGTTTGTTTTCAAAAGTACTTCAGAGGTGAATTCAGAGAACTTGTGCAGTCAGTCATGACATGCATGCAAAGCCTACAGATATTATACCCACTATAGACAAATAAAGTAGAGTAGAAGCAGGAAGATCTGACTGCCATTGATTTCTGCTGTGACTAAAACCATAGATAGAAAACATCTCCCTTTTCCAGTCTGGCTCTCTTTAGGCTTGTTCTATTTTCTTGCTGGATCCCAACCTTTCAGATCACGGCTTTATATCTGATTTCACTGGTCGTTACATCTTACTGTTCCTTTCCTCTCTGCTGCTTCAGTCTGACTGTTACCCCTACTCCATGTCCAACAGTGCTTAGAGAAATATCACAAACTTGTCGTTTCCTCTTGCTTACTCAAAGCTCCATTATAGTTCATCTTGGGGCCTTCACACACTGCTGGATAAAAGTGTTCTTTTACTACTCAGCATTGAACCAGGTGTTAACGATAGAAGGCAAAAGACTCTCTGCTGCTTCATTTGGTGAATCCTGATGTTGGCAGTCTATCTCCTTTCATAAGCAGGGCTCCCACAGGCTTCAAAAGGAGAGCTGCACATGGAGGCAGAGAAGAATATTGAGCCAAGGTCCACCATGCAGGCCCAAGAAAATAATTCTCTTTAGCAAGGAAGTCAGTCAAGCACAGAGGCATAAAAATTTTTGACTCAGGGCCATCTTAACCTGGCTAGGAGTTTCTGATGTGAGCAGCAAGGTCTATAGCCTAGAAAACTGTTAAGTGCTGGAAAACCTAGTTACCAAAAGGGTAATTTCATTCTCTATGCAGCGTTTCACATTTGAATGCTAAGTAATTGTTGAAATAAAAGAATTCTATGTTTAGCTAAGAATCTCAGTTGCAACTGTTAGGCACTTCCCAAATGCAGTCTGAGAGTCCCTCTGACCCAAAGCGTTGAAATGTGAGCTGACTGCAGCACCTTGCAAAAGCAGCATCTCGACCACGACGTTTTGGCTGTTTTGCCAATGGCAGTATTGCTCCCCATCAGAAAAAATACACATAAACATTGGGAATTAAGAAGCATTCGTGTCAGAGGCACTGTGTCTCTACCCTACCCCTCGTGCTGTGGAGCGCTCATTCCAGTAGGGGACTCCGCTTACCAGCGCAACAGAGCGCCAAGAAGTGGGTCATAACAGCTAACACAAAACTGCGATTAATTAGGTAACATCTGACCAATATCAGGACATGGAGCTGCCTTTGCCTGTCTCACTGCTCAATACAAAAACATTTGCAACTCCCAGTTAGCTATTAATTTGAAGTGTACCCCATTTCCCTCAACAAGCACAGAGCTTAGGCCAAAGGAGGGAGTGCAATCTGTCGCGCAGCACAGTACGTAGCAACAGCATTTCCACACACTCCAGTTTGCACAGCATGTCTGAAATTAGACCCAAATCCTTTCTTTGCAAACCGCAGACATTCAAACAACACATTACAAAACACACCCAGCTATACAGCCACCTCCACTTCTCAAAGCTTCCTATTACCTCTGCTTTGTATGCAGCGTATTTTTACCTTTGATTTAAAAATCAGTTTGATTTTAGGATGTTGCACACCTATACACTAGAAACAATGTCACGAGCTGTGATTGACTGATGTATGGCTGGTTAGGGACCAAGATTTTAATTCCATTGCTTAATCACTCCTGTACATTAGCTTATTAACAGAGGCCTGTTTATTGACTCTGTTTCGTGCCAAGTGCTTGCAGCTTCATGCTGTTCTTCCAGCTGTTCCGGTGCCATTCTGAGAAATAGGGTCAGCACTGGCATCTCATTTATTTCCTGATGCTTGGCTTGCATCCTCCCACCCTCTAGGGAGGCAGGAGCTGTTTGCAAGAGCACTTTATTTTTATTGCTCTTGTTAAGTTCTTTTGTTCTTCAGAGCAGGCTGCTTGGCCTAACAAAGCCCACATCTGGGCTCTCCAAGCAGTATCTTGGCTTGTTTTAAGAAACGTGCCTTCTTCCTTTGTCTCCACTGCTTTTCTCTCAACCAGCTTCATAACAAAACTGCAACTCACCTAGCACTTCCAACAGCAAAGCTTATTCACTGCTATGCCTCTCCCATGGCCTCAAAAGCATTACTCCTCAGCTCTGCAGCAGGCAGAAGGAAACCGTGCTCTCTAGGTGGACTGCAGTGCTGCTCAGTGACTTGTACAATTATTCAAAAGTGACCTTGCTCTGAGCATTTGGATACCAGTCTTGTTTCACTGGCTGTCAAAGACGATTCTGTTTCACGTCTCCCCAAAACATTACTAGATTTTGATTAAGGAAGGTCAAGGATAGCTCTTTCCTTTCAATATAAAGAGAATAGCTCAAGGGAAAAAAAAATACTCATCACCTAGCACCTAGAACTTTTATCTCCGCTTGAAAAATTAAATTGCTTGAAGCGATGGGAGGCTTGGGAAGGGGGATGTAAGAGAAGAATGTTTTCACACAAATATGTTTTTAAATAATCCACGTACATGCTGCAACTTAAAGTCCCCAAAAAGTATTTTTACAGGTTCTCATCGGTGGTCTTCACAGAACAGGAATCTAACATGTAACAATGCCCAGTCTTTAATTCAAATTGTAGCTTCTCTTACAGCTGGCTTTAGCTCCTGAAGTCCCTAATTTAGTTTATGGAATTGGTAAGGAGGTGAACATTGCCCATCAATCAGAGTAGGACTGCATGAACTCACATAAAGTCAAACAGAATACAAAGCCTATCTCACACCACACTCACAGCAATGCAGATTCCCCCTGAATATACCGTCTCAAGAAAGCGAGCAGGAAATTGTAGCGTACTGGGCCATGGAACATACATTAAAACAGCAGGAACATACATAAAAGGGACAAGCACAGCCCTCCTAAAGCAGAGAGGGGTTTTAAAGGAGCTAAAAGCTGGTTCACTGTGAGCAATGCCGTAAGCTGCCCAGAGTTAGAGTGAACCACGGCATTTTTGAGGCAAGATTAAAAGTCTTTTACCCCTTTACAAACGAAAGCAAAGGGTTTTTTTTTTTTAAACTTATACTTGGAGATGATCACAAACACCTACTTAAATGATCTGATTAAGGTGTTCTAGCAGAAGAACAAAATGCAAAGCTCAGATAGCCAAGTCTGAGATGATACCAATTTGCCAGGGCAATTGTAATGTACATTGTGTTACTGACCTAGCATACCAGAGACTTAGATTAATCCTTAATGCTTCAATTCACCCAAAAAGAAATCACTTTC